TTGGGAGACTGTTGGCTTATGGTGGCTGGAGCTGGACACAGACTGAAGGCCTCCTGTGGCGCAGCTGATGATGGGCTGGTGATGGAAGCCTTGGGCAACACCGTTGGTGATGGGGTGGTGATGGAGGTCTCAGGCAGCACAGCTGATGATGGGGTTGCGATGGAGGTCTCACGCAGCACAGTTGGTGACAGGATGGTGATGGAGGCTTCTGGCGGCATGGCTGATAATGGTGTGGTGGTGGAGATCTTGGGCAGCACATTTGGTGATGGGGTGGTGACGAAGGCCTTTGGCAGTACAGCTGAGGATGGGGTAGTGAGAAAGGCCTTAGATGGCATGGTTGATGATGGAGTGGAGAAGTCCTCCGTTGGCATGGTTGGTGACATGGCAGAGGGGGCCATGGGTGACAGCGTGGTTGGCAGTGCCATGATGGGAAAGTCTGCCAATGACAGCGTGGTTGGCACTGCAGTGGGCAAGGCTCCAGGTGACAGCAAGGTTAACATTCCTTGTGATGATGCAGACGTGAACGGCTGAGATTGGGTAGAAGAAGCTGAAAGAGGTAGAGTAGCTGGGCAAATTAAGTGGTCATCCCTCAGCAATGTCACTGCTTGCCCTGCCAGGTGGAGTGGACTCTTGCATGACACTTGTGTGGACAATTTGACCTTCTCACTGTTGCCCAGGATCCAGCTGTGCAGGTAGCAGAGGTTGCAGTCACATCTCCATGGGTTCCCACTCAGATACACAGAGCTGAGCTTCTTCAGGGGGTCCAGGAGACCTTGGGGGACACTGTCCAGCTGATTATTGCGGAGGTTGAGGGTTTTTAGATTTGGGAGAGAAACAAAGATCTCATCATCCAGAGCAGAGAGCTGATTTGTGTCCAGCTGGAGCTCCAAGAGCTTGCTGAGCCCAGTGAAGGCTCCTCTTGGCAGGGCTGCCAGCTGGTTGTGGGACAAAATGAGTTTGCCAAGAGATGTGAGGTTGACAAAGATGCCATCTGGAAGTGTGGCCAAACTGTTCTTGCCCAGGTCCAGCTCCCACAGGTGTGGCATGGTGTCAAAAAGGCAGCAAGGGAGCTCTGTAATGCAGTTTGAACCCAAAGTCAGCAGCTTCAATTTGTTTAAACCAAAAAAGCCCTGAGGTGGGAGAACCCTGATGAGGTTGTTGTCCAAAAGGAGTTTCTCCAGGTGAGTCAGGCTCCTCAGGAGCACGGGTGGCAGTGCCCTGAGCCTGTTCCTCTGAAGGCTGAGCTCCAGCAGCCCCAGCTGACTGTCTAGCAGCCCCTCTGGGAGTTCCTGCAACTCATTCTCATACAGCCGGAGGACTTGCAGCCGGGGGAGTTTGCTAAAGGCATCCCCAGGAAGAGTAGTGATCCTATTTCTAGCCAGGTCCAAAAATGTTAGATTGATAAGAGAATCAAAAATGCCTTCTGGGAGAGATGGGATTGCATTGATGTGCAGGGAGAGCTCTCCCAAATTTTCCAGCCCATCAAACAGGCCTTTAGGGATGTATCTGAGGTGGCTGTCTCTCAGCTCCAGCCTCTGCAAGCTTGGGAGGTTTTGGAAAGTGCCCACAGCTAGTTCTTCTAACGAGGCACCAGAGATGTCCAAGTCCCTCAGCTTATCCAAATTATCAAAGGCTCCAGGTTCAATTGTCTTGATCTTGTTGCCAATAAATAAAATCTTGGTCAGGTTGGGCATGTACCTGAAGGCACCTTTCCTTATAGCAGTGATGCTGGTTTGCACAAAGATCATCTCAGAAATGAAGGGCTTTGCAATCTTTGGGATCTCTTTGACATCATTTTTTGTCCCTCTGTAGACCATCTGGTAGTCTTTGGGCATTTCATATGTACCTTCACCCAGGATTTGTTCTTGGCATTTATGGGGATGGAAGGAGAGGAAGAAAAGGAAAATGAAGTATGGGTACATTGTCCTGAAACAAAGGTTTCAAAAATCAGTTATGAAGAACAAAAAAATCTCCATCCGCAGCTCTGAACTGTGGTACCACACCATCGTTCAGCTCTTGGGACTCTTCTATTCATATACCATAGCTCATTTCATGAGAAAGAGAGAGACCGTACAAGCCAACATACACTGCATTTACAAGAGTTCACTGTCTTCGGCACCAAGGGACGGAGAGGAAGGGAGAGTGAGCCAGCTCATGGCTTGGCACTGGAAGATGCTCCAGGAGGGACAAGGGCTGGACAGTTTGTTCTCTGGCCTTCTTTCTCCCATATTTGGGCTGTAGGCTCAGCATCTGTCTGGGTGAAGAAGGCAAAGTGTTGCTGCCCATTAGCACTGCCCCAGTGGGTCCAGTTACTCAGCAGGGCAACAGGACATTTGTGCAACAACAGAAGCAGTCAGCCCTGCGCTTGCTAATGAGGGATCAGCAAGGGTCACAGGAGCCAGTCAAGACCAGATGACCTTATTTACTCAAAGTTTCCACACTGTGCTGGATGGATTTACTATTTCATTGGTGCTTCTCTCAGTTCAGGGTGGGTCATTTGAAACATGACTTCTAAGCATCTCCTTTTCAGGATTCTTGCTAATTGCATCATATTTTGGCCTTGGTTATGCAGCTCTGTCAGATAGAAATGGTTAACTTGCGAGCAGCAACCAAGCTTTAGAGCAAGGCTCATTAAAAGACTATGAAATGTCTACAGATGAACTCTTTAATACCTAACAGGGCTCTGACCTGCAGTTAAGAAGTGAAGTCACTGATACACACCCACCAGTAGCCATGTTAAGCCCACTATTTCCTTCGAACCATTTGGAAACACTCAGCTAACACGTTCCGTCAGCGTTGTACTGGGACTGTAGTTCCCAGTTTGTGATCCACAGTCCTTGGTGGGAGCAGTAGAAAAGGCTGTGTGTTGCTTCTTGGGTGTCCATAAAAGCTGACCATACAAAAAACCCTTACGCTGAGAGGGTAAATTTGCTATGAAAAGTTATTTTTCTGAAAAATGTTGAGAGGTCAACAAACACAGGAGGCTGCAAGCCACTGGGTTGAAGAGAAACCAAGGGAGGTGAGCTATGTGCCAGCTGCCCCATGGGGTTCCCCAGGGCAGAAGTCACTGCTGACCCCTGCCCATTGTCTCCCCAGGGAGACTTGGGTGCAGGAGCCAGGGGTGGGGGTGCAAAAGTGCCTGCTTCAGCTGAGCTGCAGGGGCAGCGCAGTGGGTTAAACACGCAGGTAGGAATGGCTGGACTAAGTGCTCAGGGATGAAAATAAATAGTTTCAAACTGCAAAGCTCTTTTAAAACCCTCCCTCACCCCATCTGGCTGTGGTGGACCTGAGTGTGGTCCCTTGCTTGTTCCACCCTCCAGCAGCGCAGGGACAGAGAGGGACAGCCCCAGCTCACAGCACTGCAGCCTCTCCTGCTCCTTGCTGCAAGGAAATGATCAACAATCCCCTCAGAGCTGCCCCTCTGCCCCTCGCAGCACATTTTAAAGAGAAAAAAAAAAAAAAAAAAAAGCACTTTGCATCACTTACTTGGCTGAGCGCTTGCAAAGGAGTCTAGCTGCCAGAGCGAGCCGTGCCCTCTGAGGAGCAAGGCCACCAGAGTGAGGCCACCAGAGCGAGGCTACCAGACAGGGTCCCATCACCTGGGCAGCTCTTTATCCACGACCCAGGCGCAGGGCTTGGTTTTGCACGAGGTCAGGGCACAGGTCTGTGCGGGGAGATAAGGGATGGCTAGGGAACAGTGTGGGAGGCCGTTGCAGAAACCCCTCGGAGAGGACACAGGCACGTGCTTCCCAGGTGTTATCTGCTGGCACCATTTGACTAGTCACATCCAGGGAAACCTCGAGATCTCCAGACCAGCCTGTTTTGTAGCTGATGATCTCTGCAGTCCCATATCTCCACTAGCATAACCAACAGCTTCAGAGACACCACCCCCACCAACACAAGAGAATGGAGATTTCCTATTTAAAGCTTTTCCTACTAAAATATCCAGCTGTTTCCTTCCTCAGGAATTGGCTTTTCTAGCTAAAGGTGCTGCTCTGAAGCCATTTGTTTAAGCTTGTATCAGGGATAACAGCTGACACCTGGGCTCAGCCTCACAGCTCTACACCTCGTTGGCCACAGGGCTGGGGCTGAGCACTGTGTTCCCCTCTACACTAAGCACAAGCCAAAGACGCTCCTGTGGTGACACCCAGGGCTCCTGACCAGTGCAGGGCGTCTTGTGGGAAGAAACACCCTGTTTGATGCAAAGACTTAAAATGACAAGGGATCCATTGCTTCCCAATGGATATTTGCACTAGTTGCATTTAACATTTCTTCTTCAGTTTTCACCTGCTCTTACTTAAGGCTCAGCATGTGCTTGCTGGTCTTCATTATACTTTTCCTGGCAAATTTAAAAATACTCAAACTAGTGCACATTTTCAACAGCCTTACCCCTTTCCAATGTCAATGCCATATGCATCCAGGTCCCTGCTCTGTGCCAGGCTGCTCCAGAGGCTGCAGGGTGGCAGAAGCCAGGGTGCACCAGGGGACAGAGCTCACAGCAGGAGTGACACCAGCCTCCCCAGGCCACGCTGTGGCAGCTATGCCAGGGCTTGAGGAGCTGCAGACAGCCACAGCATCCCTGGTCCAGGCTTGGAGGTGGGCACGCCAGCATCACCTGGGAGATGGCTGCTGCACGGTGGCTGTCCCCTGTGCGGGAGCGGCAGCAGTGTGTCTGTGCAGGACCGTGTGTGGGGGTGCAGCATTGCC